AGAGAGAGAGAGAGAGAGAGAGAGAGAGAGAGAGAGAGAGAGAGAGAGAGAGAGAGAGAGAGAGAGAGGTGCACAAACTCCTGTTAGTACTTGTGGCTCTTGGGTTGCTGGCAGGGTGATGACTGGGCCACTCTGTGACAGACTGCACATCATCTTTGGCTTGAGGTCCATGGTTGAAACTTGAAACGACGAGTTAAACTGGCATTGCACGCGGAGCAAGCGCAAAGAGAGCAAAAGAGGAATTGGGATACATAATATCACATTGTATTTCAATTTCCAGAGTGTATAACATTGTAGTTGACATGTACACACATGCACATGTCCGAGCAGACGACATGTAGAAACATGCACATGTCCGAGTAGGCGACATGTAGAAACATGCACATGTCCGAGTACGCGACATGTAGAAACATGCACATGTCCTGATATTCTATGAAGTATACACAATAGCACAAAGCGGGAACAATAGGCATGTGTCCTCAGGCAGCACACTGTATACAACCCCATATGATATGGAAGCGTTGTAGGGCATAAAACTCTGTTCGCGAGTTCCTTTCATATCCAGATTGATCCATGCTTCTCCATCACAAATAATTTGATCAGGATCAGCTCAATAATCAGTACCCTCTCTTCTCTCTTCTCTCTCTCTCTCTCTCTCTCTCCCCCCCTTCTCCTGAGCCCGCCTCATGTACCCATACTGCACTTCACTCTTTTATACACGCGACGCTGCCTGCTGGAGCGAACCAATTCGTGACACGCATGGTGTGCTCTGCTGCTTTCTTTCTTGTCCAATGCCAGTCTTCTGCTCCCACCTGAAGTTGCAATTCGTGGAGACGACCTTGCTCTCTCTCTTTCAGAAGCAGTTGGTTTCTGTGTGCTTGTCCACGTCATTCTGTGCTTGTCTTTATACCTCTCTCACTGTGGCACAGAGAGTGAGTTTAGTGTATCAACAGGTCGGAAACGCAGACCCATATGTCTGGCTGAGTGGTGAGGGAGGAGGGAGAAAGCATTGGGGTGAGAAGGCGGCCGGCTACACAAGGTGGGGACGTACGCGAACGCGCATGTGTGTGTGTGTGTGTGTGTGTGTGTGTGAGAGAGAGAGAGAGAGAGAGAGAGAGAGAGAGAGAGAGAGAGAGAGAGAATGATATTCTAAACCCGGACAACCACCTGCTCTACGCAGCATGCATGGCCCAAAGCATGAAGGAATTAAGGTAATAAGGAGGAGCAAGGCCATAACGCATCAAAACAGAAACTAATTACGTGATGAGAGGGAACATGAGAATATTCCCCTATTCTTGGTCCCTTGAAAGGCTCCACTTCATCCACAATGCCCCAAGTAAGTTCACACCAGCCAACTGCACAGTTGCCAAGCCAACATGTACCACTTGTCTCAGTCAAAAGACTCAAAGCCACAGAGACTCTCTAGGGTATGCTGGGTGACATCACAACACCAGACCATGGGCTGTTTGCAGGCCTTTTTCACAAAAGCCAGCTTGTAGGTTATAGAAAGATCAGACTCAAGACTAACAGCACAGACATCATTCCCCGCTCACCTTGTGGAGTTTGTTTATTCAAGTGCGTGCTATGAGGTGGCAGCAAACAACCTCCGGAAGACAAGACCTGGGATCAGTTGTGTCCTCAACCTGGTCCTAAACTTGGGACCAAACTTGGGACTGGGCCCAGATGGCACAACTCAAGCACAAGGACAATCAAGCATGCAGATTAAGTACAGTTGTCCTCAACCTGGTCCTAAACTTGGGACCAAGCTTGGGACTGGGCCCATATGGCTACTTCATTATTACCTTAAATTTGGCTACTTTATTATTGCCTTTAGTTATTTTTTGTACGTCATATCAAACTGAGAGCATGAAGGAGGATGAAGTTTTTTTCCGCCCACAGAAGCATCAAACGTTTCTGACGAAATCGTAGGAGCACCTGAACCACTGATTATATGTCATGGATGAAATTATCTGGCTGTAAGAGCGGGCGTCGATGGCTTGTCGTCGTTTCCGGTGATCGCACCGTTAGGCATGAGGCTTCCAGGACGCCGGAAGCACCATTACATCCATCACTCGTTCATCCACCACTCGCTCGTCGTACCAGAGGGGATGAAATGATCTATTGATGTATGGGATTCAACTTGGAACGACGACCATCACCTTCCCTTTCTGCACAGCCGTGTACTTGGTGTGCAGAGTCATAATGCAGTCACGATGTCCACACATGCAAACATTACCACTACCACGAGAGCGTACGTTCTCCCAATCATCCAATCATATCCTTCTGCCACTCATCCCTAAGAGAGAACACCCACCCGCTCAGGTGTGAACATGTTCTGCTTAATGCTCCACACTTACCAGCAACAAGCCAGGTTGGACAGCCTTGAAGATGACCAAAACGCAAAACCCCCAACACAACATCTGCGAAATGTGAATCCCACAGAGAGAACACTCAAGTTAGATTCACTGTTAAAGCGAAATAAAAGCAACGACCAGGCCTCTCTTTTTGACAAACAAAGCCTAATAAAGCTGAAGCCGGATCAAATTTCAATCGATTTTTTGCATGGAATTTCACACTGCTACAAATCAAGCACAACATATCAAGTCAACAAGAAGATCCCTTCTGTCCGATTGCCAGACAGCACCTACCATCTTCGCACTTCCATAATGCTGCAGTGTGTTTTTCTTTCTTTCTTTCTTTCTTTCCTTCTTTAATAATTTGAAGCATTTCTCGATTAATGCATGTCATCCTCGAGCTGGGGCCTTGCCAATCTTCTGTGTATCGTTCCAATTTCCACGGATGTACCGACGGACAATGCTGCAGTGTTTCTCTACAACTCAACAGCTCCAATTCTTTTTCTCTCTCTCTCTCTCTCTCTCTCTCTCTCTCTCTCTCTCTCTCTCTCTCTCTCTCTCTCTCTCTCTCTCTCTCTCTCTCTCTCTC